TGGTCAATCACCACTCAAAGAACTTGAGGCACAATGAAAGATGAAACTGTTATTTTTATTTCACACTCCAATCAAATTTTGAAACAACATTGATATGCATCAACGGTATTTGTAAACTGTGCTTTGGCATACATAGCATTACATCGGTGAAGTGACAGCAAAACTGAAGTGGACCATTCAACCCAGGGTAAAACACAGGAGCTTCTATCTCAGTCAGAGTCTTCATCCAACTCATCTATTCCTTTCTTGTGCTTTTTCATTGCCTCGCGGTGACGGCGAATAGCTTCTTCATGGTGTTCAATCTCCTTTTGGTGATGTTCTACCTGCTCTTTCAAGTGCTCTTTCATAGCCTTCAGCTGCTCTTGTTCCTGCATTTGACAAGAGATTTGTTAATACCAGAAGTTAAGGTAAAGTCTGCATACAAGCCAAGTGGCCCATCACGCCGGAGCTTATCTCCATGTTCTGTGGCATGAAGTGACAGGGAATATTTCTACTTCCCCCAGCTGGAGGGGATGCTAGTCCATTGCAGGGTTACCCCCAGCTTTAAATTCATTAGCACCCATTTGTATACCTGGGTGGAGTGTCTTGCCCAAGAACACAACACAATGTCCCCGGCCAGGGCTCGAACCAAGACCGCTTGATCTGTAGTCAAGCGCACTAACCATGAGGCCACCACGCCTCCACTACCAGTTATCTACCCCTACCTGTTAACATAAACATTTACCTCTCTAGCCTCAGGTCAAGAACACAATGGCAATTGGTCCCAGGCAAGACTCAAACCCAGACTGCTTGATCTGAAGTTCAGTGCAAAGACCATAATAGGCCACCATGCCTCCAGAATACAGTTTTTTATTACATTTCAGTTACTACATGCATTATGTTTGGTTAATTTGGCAAGATGTATTCTTCTGTACAGCCGCTAAAGTTTACAATTGTTTTTGTTGCCAAAATGTTGCATGATTTATCACCAAATGCTCTTACTTCTATGGCAAAGAAAAAACTATAAAACATTTGGTTTCTTTCACTATATTGTGTTGACGACTTTAAGCCTCACTTAGCAACGATTACAAATTGACTCATTTTGCTTTGGATGTGTGTTAGTCATTTGAAGCCATTCTGTGTGACTAGAAATCGTTTCTCAAACCCAAAAGACACACTGTCAGTAGAGAAATGTAAATATCTCCCTAACTTTATCTCAGTACAGGCTGTAAGTTACGGATCCTCATATTTTTTTTTCCCCCTTCAATGGAAAAAACTTGGCCCATGCTTTACAGTACAGACCTCGAACTCCATTAGTAAGAGGTTTGTAATGGTCTGGGTGGCCTAATGATTGACAGTTCACTTTCATGAGCAATCTAACTGTCTCAGAGTGGACTTCATCCACATTACATAGCTCCCGTGCATAAATGACCAAAAAAATATCAATATGTTAAACGCTAAATCTGGCACCACAAAATGGCAAGAAGCGTAAACATTTTAGCAAAAAATTACAAGCTAAACAAACCAACCTGCTTTCTAAAGAACTGTTCCTCATGAGCATATTGCATCTTTCCAAATGCCCCTCCAGCACTCCTGAAATACATGTACATGTATCAACAAGCTTATCAGAGATAGCAAACTACGCTAGAGATTTGTGTAACTTCACTAGACACATCTTTCTTTGCTCAGTCAAATATTCTACCTCTTAAGATGCATTTGAGAGAGACGTACTGGAGCAAAACATTCCACAGTAAATTATGACATTCAGCGTGTATCCCTACCCCTCCCCCAAGCATCCCTGTTGTGGATCTAAATGGTTACTACTTGTGCATGGAAAGAATGCACAGTCACTAATCAAAGGACCAACATGTTCTTCCCTTATACTCATTTTAAACTAGGGAGGGGCTTGTTTATCTTTAAAACAAAGGGAGAGAACAAGCTTGATTATTGAGATGTGATCTTACCTGATGTCTCCACCACCTCCACCCCCCTAAAAAGAAAAAATGTACACAATTAAATGACAAATTAAATGCATTGAGAGTTTGCTTGTTGAACCCATACAACTCATGCTATCTGTTCAAAGGGCAGAAAACTATATCCAGTGCACAAATCTGGGTGTAAAAATGAATCGATATAAGAAATCTAAATCTGTTATTCTGAACTGATTTTTGTCATGTTTCCTAGGAACCATGAGTGTTTGTTTCCTATAGTTGCAGCAAATCAGTGTTTTTTGTTCACTTTCCTGGCTCACTTTGTTAGCATTCTCACTACTAATACTGCTACTTTTGAACAGCAAAAGTAAAACTTCTGCAACCCAGGGTAGCCTTCTTCTTTGATGCATAAACAATTCTTGCATGGGGGTCCTTTCCAGAAAATTTCCATACTCCTTCCACAAAAGGTTTTTTGGGGTTTTAACCCTTCCACTCCTCTAGAAATTCCAGATCAGCTTCATACTTCCCATTAAAAATATTGGTCTTTAAACCCCCTCCCTCTCAGAACTTACTGGAACTGCACATTTTCAAAACAGAGGAATAATTTGAAATTCTGGGGTAGAAAAGTGCATTGGGTGGTTCTTTAAAAGTAGATTGGTTCTCGCCCTCTGACCGACAGCAAGAGCAATATCTATTTATCAAAAACAACGTACCCAATGAAAACTTCTAACAATCACTTACGACAAACATTGACTAAAAGTTTGTATTATGTAAAGCAAACTATTTGAAAAACATTTGAAGAAAATTCTACTGCTTCTAACCGCCCCCATACCACATCCCCCGCGTTACGACTCCATCTATCGTTACCTAAGCTCTGAGTGTTACGTCAACGCTCAGTGACCAAAAAACAAGTTTTCCGTCTTCTGTACATTGTACAATGCAGTTGATGTGTTTCTGGACAATACTTGTTTTGTAACCACAGTGTAGAGTGGAATAAATATCCAACGTGCGTAAACGAAGCCAGATACGCTTCAACGAGAGAGAATGATATTTGTCACGAGTTTTGAGACTTAAAGGTAGCTTATATTTTAGTTGGCTCATTGCATGCGATCAAAAGTACTATTGTTTACAAACAAATAAGGAAATAAAAGGAACAGAAGTTTATTTGAGTAATACCTTTCCAGCTCCGCTTCCCTTTTCTCCAGCTGTCATTGTTCTTAACTGCAAAAACGGCGATGAAATCATCCGTCGAGAAACTGCAGACAAACGAAAGGACGCCATATTGAATCACGTTCAGTGGGAGATTGTCTGCGAAGGACTGGGTTACAGCACGGAAGAGGTTGGGTACAAGAAGTTTCCAGAGGTTGCTGAGTAATTTCGATGGAAAAGGGAAAAAAATAGTCAGAATTTGCGGTCTTTTAGCGCATTCTGTTCTTTTAAACTGCTGTCATGGATAGGTGACGATGACCTGTTGTGTTCTGTGTGATCAGAGGCATGTCTAGCTCTAGCAAGAGGGAAGAAAGTGAGGAAAAACTTCTGCAGTCCTCGCGTCGCGGAGACTTGGACACTGTGCTTGTGAGTTCAATGTTTTTGTCCTGACTGTGTAAATTTATACCAGTATGGCTTCCCGTCATTTAACAAAAATAATCAAATTTCGATACATTTAGCTGGTTTGCGGTTCATTTGTGAGAAATCACACCATAAACAAATGCTAGAAAGCTCTTGAATTATGAAAATATTAAATGTAGGCTTACAAACTTTGATCAATACTTATCGAGTAGACACGTATAAATTCACCGGAAATACGAAAGCCCTTTTTATTATTTTCTATTATAGTCGCTTTCTAAAATAATTGTTTTCACAATAATTAATGAGTTATGATTATCATGTGCTGCACACGCGATAGCAGATGAGAATAAAGACTGAACATTGTTGTACTACGTTACAAATATCATGTCATCTTTTTGAACTGAGATTTCCAGACGGTCACGTAAATATTAACTTTAAACATAGTATTTATATACATACATATCAGGTATCGTGGTTGACCTCAGACCATTTTGCTAGCTTTGTAAACCTTGAGGAGGTGGAGATAATAGCATATTATGTGTAGTGTATCATATTACCAAATTTTCTAGTTCAAGACTTTCCTCCTTGGGCAAATTATAGATTGTAATAATTTGATTTTGATAGCATACATGTACAGACTGTTACATACGCCTTGCGCAGTGGGTTATGTCTTAAAAGTATGCAACATAGATTAAATTAAATTATTTGTTGATTAACGGTTAAGCACACTCTGGAAATTTTTTATTTATTCATTGTTGATGAGAATAGGATTTTTCTTCTGCTCTGATCGGTGTAGCAATGTAAGTCTGAACTTTATTTCTCTGAGGAGCTGTTTTAATTTTTTAAAGGAACGATGTCACAATATTTTGAGTCATTTTCTGATTACTTTATTGAAGGATATCTCAAAATGATAATTTCGTTAGGGAGAATGACACCAAAATTGTTTTTAAAGAAAAAAATAAATAAGGATGGCCACAACTGAGAAAGGTTTACATGGATTATAAACGACAACTTTGTACAAGTTTTTCAAGATGCACGATCCATGACAAAGCTCTTTTAAACAAAATCTAGACTTCTTTTAAACTGACATCTATATGTACTGTATTCCTCTCACACCAATCTAATACCGGCCAAGTGTTCCACATTATCTGCAAGTATCCTGAATGTGGGTAATTCTTCCAATTACCAGAGCAACTTGTCAAATGTCATGCGTGAAATTTTACCTCTGAAATTTTACCTTATTCTGGGAGTAATTTGCAATAAACCCAGTTTTCAACCTGAAAGACGAGGTGTACCAACAAATCTGCTTATTTCTGCACAGAAGTTAGGTTATTGTGTCTGTAAGTCCTTTCTCTTTTTTGATGTTGTTGTGGTTTGCTCACTGATTCTATGGACTGTTTCTTTCCTAAATTATAGAGTTTATTACAAGCTAAGTCACCAAAGAATGGTTCCCGCTCAACTGTTGATGTAAACTGCAAAGGTATTTTATTTATACTGTATTCGACAGAGCAGAATACATGTATCCCGACTTATAATAAGAGAATTATTGACTGAGAGATGTTGTGTCTTCAAATTGTACCTACATCTTTCAATAACATGTGAACTTTGAAGTTCAAATCCTAACTAATGATTGCATTTTCGACCGCTGTCAATCCTAATAATTATTGTGACATCAACCGATGAACATTTAAAAACAGAAACAAACAAAATAATCAAAACCCACAGATGTGACCTTTGAACCCATTTTAAGGTAAACTTCTGTTTCCTGAGAGGTCCACTAAGATGGTAGCCTGCAAATGCAGATGTCTTTCCGCAGGGTACTAAGATGGTTGACAGTAATGAAATGCAAAGCCATTGATTGAGCAGGGTTTGTGTGTTATTGAAAGGCCTAAAAAAAATTCCCTTGTCAAACATAATCAAAATGAAAATTTGCAGCTGTAATTTCATTTATGAACAGCAAGCATTTTTCTTTAAGTAGTATAAGTATGCTAAGCAACAAGCTGTTTTTGTTCATCTTTAGGGAGATCTAAAGCCAACCAAGGATGGACCCCTCTTCATCTCGCAGCTTACTTTGGCCACAGTAGTGTTGTGAAAGCCCTGTTAGAGGTGAGTCTTCAACACATGATGTAATTTTATGTTTTAATGGGTCTTATTACCCTGAATTACACTGTAAGAAGGTTTTACACCAGACCTGGTGACCAAGCAAAGTTATCTTCACAGATGGTCAAGTTTCTCACAGGCCTTTACATTAGAGTTTCCCTTTTGTCAAGAAATTTTTCAGTTTTGAAAATGACTGCACAGGGTGCACAAACAACCAATGTTTGGCCTTGCAATAATGCTGTACTAGCCCTAACGTCAGCATGATAAACTAAGTTGAACTAATTTCATCTTTTACACTACTTCAATCTGTAATGTTCATGAATTTCCCCAAAAACTTGACTTGCTCATCGCACAAGCCAACTCACATGTAGAATCTAGTGGTCCCAGACTATCCGACACGACTTTCTTTGCATGCTAATGAACCAGTTGAAAACCTACTCAAATAACATTGCATATATCACTCAATCTTTCAGAATGGAGCTGATGTAAATGCCAGGAATGGAATGGGAGATACGCCTTTACACCGTGCTGCTTTTACTGGAAGAGCTGTGAGTTTATTATGCATTCAATTGCAGAGTATTTTGCAAGCCTCTTTTTTTGTTCTCCTTTGCACAAATGACCCTTTCAGGCCCATTTGCACTCAACAACAATTTTTCTTTTGCTGTACTGTGCATCTTGTATACCGCCCAACTTATAGAGGCACAACTTTGCCCTGGAGACAGTCACTTCACATTGTTGGTTTGGGTTAAGAAAATGTAGGTATTTCAGAAGTCTATCTTATGTAGCAATAAATTACTATTTTTTGTAAACAAAAATGGTTTCTGTTATCTGAATCAACCCTTATTTCTACCCTTACATTTAATCTCTTAACTCCTAATTTTCTAACTAGGATGTAGTGACATTGCTGATTCAGTACAATGCTGATGTGACGATCATCAATGGAGAAGGGCGCAAACCAAGCCAAGTTACCAACAGCACAGAAGTAAAACAACTTATAAAAGGTAAATGAATAGTTCTATTGCATTCACTTGATTTGTAGTTAATTTTTAATGGCTAAAGGTAGTTGAGAGGGCCATTTAATCTGGAATCAATCTATCTGGATGCTAGAGTCAGGCTCTAGTTTTTGCATTTCAATCACCCATGAGCTTATAATTAGCATTGTAATAATTGATTTCATCCTTTTCCAGCCGCCGAAAGGAGTCTTCAACTTAAGTTAGAAGAACGTTTGCTGACAGCTGCAAGAGACGGTGACACGTCTGAGTTAAAGAAATTGGTAAGTCAAGACCTACATGCATTAGTGATCATTTGAACGTTAGTTTTCCTTTAATAAAAGGGGAGGTGTGATGGCCTAAAGGTAAGCATGCTGGAATCTGGACCAAGCAGTCTGGGTTGGAGCCCTGGTGGAGGTCATTGCATTGTGTTCTTGGGCAAGACACTTTACTCTCGCAGTTCCTCCCTTCACCCAAGGGTATAAATGGGTGCTGGTGAAATTGATGCTGGAGGGTAACCCTGCGATGGACTAGCATCCTATCCATGGGAGAGTAGAGACACTCCTAGTTGCTTAATGCTACAGAAACGGGAATAAGCTCTGGCTCTATGGGCAGCTTGGCCTGACACAGACTTAACTGGCACTAAGAATACTACAGCAGCCACATATTTTAGGCCAAGTCAAGGGATTTGCTCTTATTTTAAACTCCCAACAATGACCAGCCACCTCTCCACAATTGCCTGTACACTCTGTCCCCAGGGTGGCCATTGTAGAAAGGTTTGACCATAGTTTTCTTTTTATTTGCTTTGCAGATCGACAATACTCACCCTCCTAATATCAACTGCCAAGACATGATGGGAAACACTCCATTACACTGTGCCGCATACAGGTAAGATACCAAGTTATTGTGGCATCATCTGTGTATATTGTGCACATCTACATGTACTTCAACTTGTACATTGCAAAGAAAAGCACAACAAATCTTTGCTTTCCTTGTTTAGAGGGTTCAACGTAGGTTTGGTGGGATGTAGGATAAAAATACTTTATCAGTAGCGGGATTTGCCATTTTGACAGGCCGGTTGGGGTTTTAAAAATGACAGTAGAATGTGGGATGAAGGTGGAATACAGGTTACGCACGTTATGCAGAGAATTGCAACTCTAACCAGGCATTACTTGGATAAACATTCCAAGTGGGGCGGGATTGCAGGATTGAGCCAAAATTAGTGACGGGACGTGCGATTGAAAATGCCTGTGTTGGACCCTCTGTTTTGGAAGTGGAGAGTTGCTGGGACACCTCCCAGCAGTAAAGACCTCTACAAATAGTATTTGGACATCCAGTGATAGTCCCAGACACACACTAGTACTACATTTGTAGCCTTCTATAAGAAAATGCCTAATCTCTAAGTGAAGAATCATCCTTGTCCTAAGGGTTTCAGCTTACAGGAGGCTAGATACTGTAGTGAAAACTGTGAACTGTTTGCATGTTGTTTCAGGGGACACAAAGTGATTGCAGTGACACTTTTACAGCATGGGGCAGACACAACCATTAAGAACAGCAATGGTAAGAAAGTGTTTAAAAGATCCCTGGTGCAAAACCTTACAGGATGTTTGAGGACCTAACGGGTCTTGGAGGATCTTGCAACAAAAAAAATTCTCTTAAAAGATAAGAATCTTCAAGAATTCTTCAGTTGAAATATCTTGCAAAGATCTTTTAATGAAAGATTGTGTAGAGATATTGGTCAGGCTTCTCTAAGATGTTCAAAGATTTTGGCAAGGTATTTGAGCAAAGTCTTTGATGATCTTTGAAGATCCTTGAAGATCCTTGAAGGAATTCAAAGAACCTTGATATCTTAAGCATTTTTTGAAGGAAAACAGCTAATTTGCTCCTTATGTGATAGTGAGTTATATATTAAGCAATATTGCAATTCTTTTAAGAACACTTAATATGAAGTGCAAGAGGCCTTCCTCTGTGTCTCATGCTTCTCTGTTCATCTGTTTTGTCCTTAAAGATTCCTCTTGTGCTTCATCTATAACTCAACAATGCACATGGTGTTTTTATTAGCATTTTCCCTTGGAATGAAAATTTAAAGTAACCTCCAAAGATGAAGCTAAATACAGGAGGCCATTTCTGAGTTGTCTTTTTGCCTCAGTGTCAAAACGAGTCTACATGCAAAACCATTCATGTGAGAAGGAGTTCTGGTTACAGGTTTATTTTCATACAAATCACACTCATTTTCATATGAAAGGTTTCGCACAAGGACTCATTTGGAAACAGAGGTACATGTACAAGATAACCCAGAAATGGCCTATTCACTCAAATTTGTCATCTTTGTTAAAATTATCACAGTTTCAATGTTACTGTTTTTGGTTTTGAATATCATTATTTAAATATTTACAGCGTAATATTTGTATCATAGGTCAGATTGCCTTGGAGTTAGCTTGTAGCAAGAAAATGAAACAGCTCTTAGATGTTCAACCATTACAGGTTGGTTTTTAAAACTTAACCCTTTCTATTTTGTCAACTTCATTAGTAATATTAATTTTATAAAATCCTAGACTATGAGCTCCACACTTATGTAACCACAATTAAGCCAGTTAAAAAGCCCTTTAATTAAACTGATTAAAATCCATCTTCTCCTTACAATATCAATTTGTTGTTAAGCATCAGGTGATGAGAATTATGAAAACAGTGATCATCAGCTGAAGGTTACAGTCTTTATGTGCACCACGTCCTTAGAACTAACATTTAAAAGAAACGTATGACCATCTGTAATGACAATTGAAAGTGTACTTCAAGCGCAGCGCTGAAAATAGCAGTTAGTGATTCTTTTCTTTGCAATGAGGTATTCACATTTTTTGATTGTCTCTTTTAACTGCAGAAACTTCACAGGATTGTTTCAAGACATGAAGGTGCTCTACTTAAGGTGAGAAATACATGTACTGTGTACTGTCTGTCTCTTTGCACGCTTGGCGGACCTATTGTGGGGATTATTTTGCATGCATAGCAGACCTGTTATGATCATTGTGTCAGTTCTAGGAAAGGGGTGAATTTAAACCATAGCTAGAAGTGTTCACAAGATACACTAGAGTCCATTCCAGTGATTTAGCATCAACCTGTTTGCCATGCAAATTATGTGCAGTGGTATCATTTTACTACTTTTCTTTAGAATTTGTGTAGGCTCGGTGCCCTGATGGTTAGTGCGCTGGACTCTAAATCGAGCAGTCCAGGTTGAAGTCCTGGTGGGATTCATTGTGTTGTGTTCTTTGGCAAGACATTTTACTCTCACAGTGCCTCTCTTCACCCAGATGTAATGCTGCGGGGTAATGCTGCGGGGTAATCCTGCAATGGACTGGCAGCATCCCATCCAGGGGGGAGTAGAAATACACCTATTCACCTATTCACAAGTTTTGTGCTTGGTAGATTTGTGTCATCCGAAGACATCCTTACGAAACTCAAATGGCTTCCCGTAAAGGAACAACGCGAATGGAACCTACTTAAGGCAACTCACAAAGCCCTTCACAATCTATATTGGCCAAGTTATCTGAAACTTAATGTATTTCAACACGAAAGATGCTTAAGATCTAGTAACAGCATTCAGTTAGAGAGATCTTTAATTAATAATACTCTACAGGACCAGACTGCAAGTTTATTTAACACYTTGCCCAGCAACGTGAGGTGCTGCCAAGACTATATTAAATTTTGTAAAGACACCAAAAACATTATTTTTAAGAGAGCTTTAGAACACCTGGCATAATTTAATGGCATTAATTATTTATTTATTCATTTATTTATTTTAGCATATCTTAAAACACAATTTTATCTCGTTTACATATAGATATAAATTCTTAGATATCTTTTAACCT